GCTGAAGGGAGTCATCTAACATCTGCCCAAAAAAACTTCCATTTCAGATAGTTACCACCATTCACTTCCTGACCAATTGGAGGATGGTTGATTATTGTTGGGTTTCCCACAGTAGTTCAAGTGCTTGAAACCAAACAACAACCTGCGTCTGTGGCTCCTCCTGAGATGTTGATCCAAGTGGCGATTCGGCGGTGGGAAGGCCCCGAAGGGGGAACCACTCGAAGCACTGGAACCACTGTTGCTCGGACAAATGAAAGGTAACCTGTCAGGGCTGCAAGGGTGACTTACATAGTCGGTAGTTGAGGTGTTCCAAAATATGTTCCAGCCCAATCTGCAAGCCTCTGATTGCTTAGCCTAGTCGCTTTTATTTCCAGTAGCTACAATCTAGTTTCAGATTTCCACAACCCATCTGGATCTATGGAAGTCCCCAGAACATCCCATAACACTTCCAGCCACACAAACACCACAAGAAACCAGAACACAGCCAGCCAACATCCCGCACTTTCCGGCCAAGTAGCGGAGTCTGTAAACACATATTCTCCATGTTCAGGAAGCCAAGCTCCGCCTTGACTGGAATCCACAGCAAAGCCTGGCATCAACGATGCTTGCCAGATAGAATACACCGCCTTTTCGATGAGACAAGTGCAATCTTCAGCCCCCGACCACCGGCCACGATCGAAGCCAATGACTTTTTGCCATCGTGGTTAGGCTTTGTTGAATGCAGTAAACTCAATCAACTTTGCATCAAGTGTCTTGCAAAGCCATCCTGCTTGATGGTTGTTTGATTAAAACATACCAAAACTGCACTGTTTTAATCAGGATATAGAATGATATAGATTCTGCAGCTGAAAATGAACAACATAATGCTGTCCAATTCTAGACACATAAGGGCCTGGAAACTGAAGATTGCTGTAGATTGGATATGGGAAGATGTTTTGCAAGAAAGCTTCCAGCATCTTCCAGCAATCAAGGCAGCATCTTCCACACACCCTTGAGACATGCCAGACATGACAAACTCTGACGAATCTGCATGGACAATCCATGTTGCAAATTCACACCTCTGGTATCACTATTTGCCAACACTCCATCAGTGGAGCAGCCATTTTGTCCGAGCATAGGTGCACAATCATGTGGGTGGAACTGCGAGTAAAAATCACCTCTGCGTTTTGAACAAGTGTTGCAAACATCACTTGCGGGGATGCATGGAGATCTTGATTTGGATGCTTCAAACGTGAGATGTACCATGATGTACCTGATCTGCAGTGTAATTCTACAGTCATCCTATAGATCAAATATCTCGTTGGCACCGGAAGATCTAGGCCATTTTTTTGGCCTGGGGCTCATCGGTTGCTGCGATTCGCCGGGCGTCGGAAAACACAAAAAAATGTCTCTGGCTTTGCTTCAAAATGGGCTACCCTCTGGTAATTTAACATAGCTATTGAAAATGGCCATTTATAGTGAGTTTTCCCATTAAAAATGGTGATTTTCCATAGTTATGTTAGTTTACCAGAGGGTACCCCCCATTCCAATGGATTATCAACATGTTCCCACATTTCGGACACGAAAGACGCCCAACACTGGCCCGTTCAGTGCTGGATTCGCAGGCCGATACCCCTGTCGCAGGCCGTCGGCTCAAGCTTCCCAGGCTTTTTCGCAGTCTGGGCGGTACATGACATTGGTCACCTGGGCCATGAAAGCACCCCTGGAATCTACTCTCCCAGCCAAAGGTAGCAAACTTTTAGGGCAAAAAGAACTGCCCAACATAGCAGCTACAGCAAAATACTAAACCAGCACCACAATCAAATTCACCATAACTATGAATCGGTATCTGAGCCGGTGCTTTTAGGGCAAAAAGAACTGCCCAACATAGCAGCTACAGCAAAATACTAAACCAGCACCACAATCAAATTCACCATAACTATGAATCGGTATCTGAGCCGGTGCACTTTCGGCTTGCAATTCTTGAAGATGATCCGGGACAGCTCCTTAGTGCAAAGTCAGGCAGAAAATATCAGCATGCTAAAACTGACACGCATCTCATATACAGGCAAAATGTTATGAATCTTTGTGCAAATGGTCCAAAAAATATGTGAAGAATCTCAATACATATATAATCATATATATATATATACACAGATAAGTAAAGTCATATAATTTATGGTGATTCATTATAACATATCAAATTATATCATAGTTTCGTATGACATAAACTCGTGCCCGCCGTGTTGGGCGCCCAGGCTGTCTCCACATCACCCACGAAGTCCACGAGGCCAATACGTTGAGCCTCCGAAAAACACAGGTGGGATGATGGGAGATGCCCAAGAAGTGCATATTATATACCATATTATATTATTATCCAATATAGTGGATATTATGATAAGTGAACTAACTAATATCCAATATTATCATATATATTATCCAATTATATTTATAATATATGTCTTACAGTACTGCATATATAATCTGCATATTTAAGTGGATATTAGTGAACACTGCTACTGCAGAGAGTGTCTATCATCCCAAAAAAGCTGATGATGCAAATACTCTTCAATCATTCTGAACATTTGACCATGAAGGGCAAGACGAGCCTCTCGGGCATCGATGGGCATGCCATCCGTGACCAGTTTCCTGACGAGTTGTCCGAACTTCCGAGAAGCAATAGATAGATTAGCCAACGTAAGTCGTATTGACTCATATCGCTCTTGGGTTTTTAATAATATATGGGATGTATAACCAACAAAATCATGAGGATATCATGGGATATAATGGCTTTGTAAGTAGTATCACTTACATTCATGCTGGAGAATATCTGCAATCGGATGGGTTTACACAGGTGTTGCACTGAAAATCTGTGGGTTCTGGACAACACCACCACTTGGCAGTAGAAGTGCAGCAGTCGGAAAAAAATGCTACCTGGTACAGTATAGTCATGTACCTGGTAACACACTTTTTTTTTGTGGTGCAACTTCCATGGCTAGGGTACAAATCACCCCAACCCATAGAGAAATACACCATCCATCACCATCCCAGCTGCCTAATGTCGTTGTCACTGATACGTTTCCGCAGTGCGACGGTCACGCACTGACAGGGCCAGGTGTAATCAGCAGCCGGGGTCATGAGATACAGAATCGTTTTCATCTTTGGCAAGAATTTGGTGGCAAACCCTTCTGGAAAAATATCTGATTATCGCAACACTGCCCGGCAAATGGAAAAAAAGAGATGGTGCTCTGACGTTGATTTTTGTCCAATTGCCCAGTTTTGCGCCGGGACGTGGTGCAATCATGCCAGGTCAACAGCAGGCAAACCACCCACACGCACTTCAGGGAAGCCAAAGGTGGTATCGGGCTCTGCTAAAGACACCTGAGATCGGAATCCATCTTGAAGCATCTTGAAGCATCGCTGGAAGCTACGATCAAATCTCAAGAGAGGAGTAAGTAGTTGATTGAAAATGGCCATAGAAATAGTGAGTTTTCCCACTAAAAATGGTGATTTTCCATAGCTATGTTAAATTACCAGAGGCTAACTGCTGATTACACCTGGCCCTGATCGCTGGAAGGCTTGGTAGTCTTAGTAGGTCTTATTAGTCTTAGTCTTTGAAGACCCTGCTCTCACCGAGAATCTCACCTCACCAGCACAAGTGGACAGTGAATCCGGCCATCCCCAGCGAAGATATTTCATGACCATCATCTGGATGGATCCTCTATTCCAATAACCATTGGATAATTGATCCCAATAATCATGGAGAGGTTATACCATATTATACTATATACCATGTTATACCAATAATCATGGAAAAAATATATATCCAATAAATCATGGAGAATCATGGCTTATAATATCTTATAATATCATAGCAATCTTCTCAAACATCCAAAAAAAAAGTGTGTTCCAGCGGCAGTAGGTGCCCAGCATCTGACAGTGCCACGAAAGCCATGGGCAAACTCCGAACCTTGGTAGCGGCAGTGACAGTCGGACAGCAGATACCCAACTTTGGGGAATTGGCTGTGAGATATACTGTAAAAAAAATACTATATAATACTATCTAACCCTGGGAGAATAGGTGAATTGAAAACTGATGTTCATCCTTTTCAAACACTTTTTTTGGAACAAAGAATCAAGAAGTTGCAGGACTCGTTGGGGGCTGTGGGAGCATGTCTTGGCGCCCTTCAGCCCTTTCTTCTTGGACTTTTTTGGTCTATTTGATGATGCGTGCAGCCTCTACAATCCTGACATCAGAGATAAGTGAGACTATGATTATCATTATCATTATCATTATCATTAATTCTCATTATCATTCTGATCATCATGATTATTGTTACCATTATCATTATATTATATATATATATACAGTAGTATATATAATGACTATAATGTTTTGCAATTATACAGGTGATGTTCATCATTTTATCAAGATTTTAGTAGCATCTTGGAAAGCCCAACATACCATCCCAGCACCCGGATTTCTTGCCCATTGGCATCCCCTTTCGCAACGTTCACAACGTACGTGGGCCTGGTGTCCACCACCTGTGGCAATTCGTCACCGGCAACTGGAAACAAATGCAATACTGGTTGGTGGTTTTAACCCCTCTGAAAAATATGAAAGTCAGTTGGGATTATTATTCCCAATGCTAATACAGTATATGGAAAAATAAAAAATGTTCCAAACCACCAACCAGAACAAAAATCTTCAACAACTGCAGATCTTGCTTGCGGATACACCTCGCAAATTTCTGCGTAGACCTCCTGCTGTATCATGTAAATGTCCTGAACAGTGACGGCCAATGCTGTGCTCACAGCTGTGCGTTTCTTTGCTTCTCAGATCTTCTCAGAAATGTCAACTCTCCGAACGCTCCTTGTCCCAGATTGTTTGTCCCAGAAATCTGAAGATGACAATGCCCGTAGAGACCTGGTGTGTCAGCTCTACAGGGCTGAGTGAACGTGACAACGTCAGTGGAGTGCAAGACATCCAGGTGTCACTTCGAAGTCCCACATGATATCTTATCTGTTTCATTCTTTTTCAAAAGCTCTGTTTTGGCCGCTCCCCTGTCGGTAGGGCTCAGCGCGAAAATCTGGGTCAGACAGAGAGAAGTCATTTAAAAGTTGGCCCCTCTCAGAATTTCCGGCCACTTACAGCGCTGCTTCTTTCGCTTAGAGCTTGGCAGCTGGAGCCTTGTCTGCTGCCAATCCTCCACCGGACAGCTCCTTGAGATCCATCGACTTGAACTTGTCGCCCAACATGTACTTGGCGCAGTGCTTTCCGGCCACACGGCCAAAGACCACGCAGTCCAACAGGGAGTTGCCACCCAGACGGTTGTTGCCATGCACACCACCGGCCACTTCACCCGCCGCGTAGAGCCCCGGAATGGCCTTGCCAGACTGGGCGACAACCGCCGAGTCCTCATCAATCTCCAAGCCACCCATGCAGTAGTGGATCACAGGAGTGATGATGGCCTTGGCTCATCAAAGTGTTGATATCATCTCCACATATCTCCACATAAAAATGCTAGCCTAACAAAATGAGTAGTGAGTGTCAAATATCAAATCTAATTGATGATGATTGATGGGTAAACAATGGCAAACCCTCGTAATTCAAATTCCGTGGCAAAATGGGGACTTACGGGGGAGTTACAACCCAGAACTGCATCTATACTCGATTGCGGGGGCGTCTTGCACTCAACAAAGAGTCAAATGATGGCAGAAACCAGGCCATGAAATCCATGAAAGTTGCAAAGTCCTTGTTTATATTGTGAATCTGAGTTCCGACGCAACCCCAGGGTGAAATGCTCTCACACTGCTCTGGCTTTTGGGGTTCCAATCCGTTAAATGGTTACAATATGTTGCAATATGTCACAACTTGAAACCTCACTGAATCCTAAACTTTGTCATTATCCAATGTACTTAACCCATCCTCTGCTCAAACAGATCATCCACAAGGCCAAAATCATAAAATAACAGCCAGATTGCTGAGTAGAAGGGTTCGGTCTTCACCTTGGATCCATCGATGATGTTGTGGAAGAATTTCTTCCCGGCACCGGTCTTTCCGCTGGGCTCGTCCCAGGTCTTGCCGGATGGGTAGGCGGGGAACGGACCGCCCTCAGGATCCTTCTCCTGCTTCTTGGCGGACTCGAAATGGGTCTGGTGAGTGGCCTCCAAGGTACAGAAGCTGTGGATCGATTGGTCCATATCCATCATGTTCTCTTGGGATTTATGTAGATTTATGTAGTGTTCCACAATTCAGATCCACAATTATGGAACCATCAATCTCCATCATGTAACTACGGATTCATAACATGTCATAACCATATATATATATATATCAATCCTATATGAATCATATACATATACATATATCTATCTATATATATATATATCATTTTATACCATATAATCTCATATATCAAACTTGAAATCCAGAATTTCAGCCACCAATGACATCGATGACCCGCCTCCAGGGTGCTCAGCGAGATGTTCATGTCCTTGCACAGCGCCTCACCGCTCTCGTAGAACTTCATGACGCCACGCCCGGTGTAGTGCTTGCAGTGCCAGATGATCTCATCGCTGGCTGCCTTGTTCAGGATCAGTCCTGGATTGACAGAAAGGGCACTTAATGTATAAGGGGGTTGATCAAAACATAGTTGCCGGTGTGTTATTAGAAATGACCTTGCGCCCGCCCTTGCGCTTCCTTGCGCTCTTCAGGGTTTTTATTGTGTTCCATTACATAGATTAAAAATATGTATTTAAGAATTGATTGCCGCAAAAAGTTGCTCAATTCAAGGGGGTGTTCACTGATCCAGTACGCTGTGCAACACAAACTTTTTTAGCCTTCGGAAGCAAAATCTGATGATTCGGAGCTCGAATTCTCAGAAGTTGAAGATTCTGAGGAGCTCTACCTACAGAGGAAATTTGATTCCCAAAACGGCCCTTTTGAGCCAGAAAGAAGCTTTACGGGAATCATTTCAAGAGGTATGTAGAAGGAGAATGTATACGCATAGGAAATTTGATTCCCAAAACGGCCCTTTCGAGCCAGAAAGCAGCTTTACGGGAATCAAATCTCAAGAGGTATGGTAGAAGGCAAATATATACACATAGAAATTGTGATTCCCAAAACGGCCCTTTGGAGCCGAAAAGCAGCTTTATGGGAATCAAATTTCAAGAGGAATTTGATTCCCAAAACGGCCCTTTCGAGCCAGAAAGCAGCTTTACGGGAATCAAATTTCAAGAGGTATTGTAGAAGGCAAATATATACACATAGGAAATTTGATTCCCAAAACGGCCCTTTTGAGCCAGAAAGAAGCTTTACGGGAATCAAATTTCAAAAGGTATGGTAGAAGGAGAATGTATACACATAGGAAATTTGATTCCCAAAACGGCCCTTTCATGCCAGAAAGCAGCTTTACTGGAATCAAATTTCAAGAGGTATGGTTGAAGGATAGTGTATACACATAGAAATTTTGATTCCCAAAACGGCCCTTTTGAGCCAGAAAGAAGCTTTACGGGAATCAAATTTCACAGCTTTACGGGAATCAAATCTCAAGAGGTATGGTAGAAGGCAAATATATACACATAGAAATTGTGATTCCCAAAACGGCCCTTTGGAGCCGAAAAGCAGCTTTATGGGAATCAAATTTCAAGAGGAATTTGATTCCCAAAACGGCCCTTTCGAGCCAGAAAGCAGCTTTACGGGAATCAAATTTCAAGAGGTATTGTAGAAGGCAAATATATACACATAGGAAATTTGATTCCCAAAACGGCCATTTCGAGCCAGAAAGCAGCTTTGCGGGAATAAAATTTCAAGAGGTATGGTAGAAGGAGAATGTATACACATAGGAATTTGATTCCCAAAACGGCCCTTTCATGCCAGAAAGCAGCTTTACTGGAATCAAATTTCAAGAGGTATGGTTGAAGGACAGTGTATACACATAGAAATTTTGATTCCCAAAACGGCCCTTTTGAGCCAGAAAGAGTCTTTACGGGAATCAATTTTCAAGATGTATGGTAGAAGGAGAATGTATACACATAGGAATTTGATTCCCAAAACGGCCATTTCGAGCCAGAAAGCAGCTTTACGGGAATCAAATTTCAAGAGTTATGGTAGAAGGAGAGTGTATACACAGAGAAAGTTTGATTCGCAAAACGGCTCTCTTGAGCCAGAAATAAGCTTTACGGGAATCAAATTTCAAGAGTTATGGTAGAAGGAGAGTGTATACACAGAGAAAATTTGATTCCCAAAACTGGCTCAAGAGAAGCTTTACGGGAATCAAATTTCAAGAGGTATGGTAGAAGGAGAATGTATACGAATAGGAAATTTGATTCCCAAAACGGCCATTTCGAGCCAGAAAGCAGCTTTACGGGAATCAAATTTCAAGAGGTATGATAGAAGGAGAGTGTATACACAGAGGAAATTTGATTCCTAAAACGGCCATTTCGAGCCAGAAAGCAGCTTTACGGGAATCAAATTTCAAGAGGTATAGTAGAAGGCACACATAGGAAATTTGATTCCCAAAACGGCACTTTTGAGCCAGAAAGAAGCTTTACGGGAATCAAATTTCAAGAGGTATGGTAGAAGAAGAATGTATACACATAGGAATTTGATTCCCAAAACGGCCCTTTCGAGCCAGAAAGCAGCTTTACGGGAATCAAATTTCAAGAGGTATGGTAGAAGGAGAGTGTATACACAGAGAAAATTTGATTCCCAAAACGGCCCTTTTGAGCCAGAAAGAAGCTTTACGGGAATCAAATTTCAAGAGGTATGGTAGAAGGAGAGTGTATACACAGAGGAAATTTGATTCCCAAAACGGCCATTTCGATCCAGAAAGCAGCTTTACGGGAATCAAATTTCAAGAGTTATGGTAGAAGGAGAGTGTATACACAGAAAAGTTTGATTCCCAAAACGGCTCTCTTGAGCCAGAAAGCAGCTTTACGGGAATCAAATTTCAAAAAGATACCAAAAGCTACGGAGCTGTTAAAATGTTTTTGCCGGAGCCTTGTAGCGATGCCTGTCCAACTTGGCAAAACAACCTAAAGAGAAACTTGCGCTTACCTTGCGCCAGACTTGGGTTCAAAACAGGCATTGCAAAGGCAAAAAAAACTTCACTAAATCCAACCGAACCTTCTATGTGTATACATTCTCCTTCTACCATACCTCTGGAAATTTGATTCCCGTAAAGCTGCTTTTTGGCTCGAAATCTACCATACCTCTTGAAATTTGATTCCCGTAAAGCTGCTTTTTGGCTCGAAAAGGCCGTTTTGGGAATCAAACCTTCTATGTGTTTACACTCTCCTTCTACCATACCTTTTGAATTTTTGATTCCCGTAAAGCTGCTTTTTGGCTCGAAATGGCCGTTTTGGGAATCAAACCTTCTATGTGTATACACTCTCCTTCTACCATACCTTTTGAAATTTGATTCCCGTAAAGCTTCTTTCTGGCTCAAAAGCGCCGTTTTGCGAATGAAACTTTCTGTGTGTATACACTCTCCTTCTACCATAACTCTTGAAATTTGATTCCCGTAAAGCTGCTTTCTGGCTCGAAAGAACCGTTTTAGGAATCAAATTTCCTATGTGTATACATTCTCCTTCTACTATGCCTCTGGAAATTTGATTCCCGTAAAGCTTCTTTCTGGCTCAAAAGGGCCGTTTTGGGAATCAAATTTTCTCTGTGTATACACTCTCCTTCTACCATACCTCTTGAAATTTGATTCCGGTAAAGCTGCTTTTCGGCTCGAAAGGGCCGTTTTGGGAATCAAATTTTATAAGTGTATAATTGTGTATACACTCTGCTTCTACCATACCTCTTGGAATTTGATTCCGTTTTGGTAGGGTTCCGTCTGTCCTGCCTACCAGCTCTGAGCCGCTACAGCAGCAGATGTTCACTGATACAGAAAAGAACAGCGATATTAATATATCTTGCGCCCGCCCTTGCGCTTTCTTGCGCCTCCCAGGCAAAACGCACTACAAATTTACAACAACATACTCCATTCATACGTTTGTATAAAACTCCTCTGCGGGGGTTTTGATCGTCACTCAAATATAATAATGTAATATATACAGCATAAATATTATATTATATTATATATATATATATTATTGTGAACAATTTGATCCTTGTTCCGGATATCAATGTTGATGCTTAGACAGTACCTGCTCAGCTGGTTATCACCGGACCCGTCCAAACATAGCAAGCAGCGATCGATCCCTTTTACCTTCGCGGGGTTCTTGAGCCAAAATGGGCGTTCAGTACATATACAATCTTACCGTGTTCCCTTTGACACCCCCCATGCCTACGGCATCTTCGAACCGTAGGCACGAGAGTGGGAACTTTGAATTATGCACGAATTACGCCTTTGTACACGCATTTTCCATTCGGCTCTCCCTTCACCCACGCCCGACGAGCGTAGTGGATCCAGGATTGTCTACTCTATGGCATGCAATGCATCAGCGCAAGTTCGAGCTGTACAACGCGAATTATCACTAGCTTACAGCTACTCTACGACTACGGCTTCGCAAGTCACTCCATCGACGACGAAAGTTGACTGCTCCACCAAGAATAGCAATTGGCGCTAACTAGTGAATTCACGTGCACATTGCTAAAAAGAAAATCGTGCAGATTGTGAATAGTGAGAATCTGGGACCTAAGCGAATTAGTCTACTGCCTCGCTCAGATTCCTCTCAGTTGTTCTTTTTCTGATCATCTGTTCACAAAGACGATACACATCTTATAGTCCAGTGATCATTTGGATGGACAGAGGTGGTTGTCTTACTCCTCACGGCGGACTTTCTTCCATTGAGGTGTCGTTTGAGATTTCTCCCAACCTGCCGCACGTTTCGGAGCAGCTTTCGGCGATGGGGGCTTCGCAGGTGGTGCTTTGGATGGTCCATAAGACTTCGGCATAGCCTTAGCCTTTGGTGCACTGGCCGAAGATGATGACGCTGAACCAGTACCTTCAGGTTTCTGCGAAGGCTGTGTTGATGATCTGGCTTTTGCGTCTTCAGCGGCACGCTTGGCGCTAGCACTGTCCCCGACTGCTTTGAATACTTCACTCACCACTTCGTCCCCCAGGTTCGGAGCCATCTTCATTTTCATTTCGGACTTTCCCCTCGCCGCCTCGGACTCAGCGAGTTGAATGGCGTAAGCCATCTTGCTGATGAAGTTACGAGGTAATGGAATACCGCATTGTTGGGCAGCGAAGAGTAGTTCCACCCTTTGCTCCTTTTCTCTCAGACTCAGATATACCGAGAAAGCTGGGAGTTCAATGCAGTTGGGGAAGCCGTGGCTCCCGGAACGGAAGAAGGTGTATGATTCATATTCGGGAAAGGTTCCCTTCATCAATCGTCGGAGAAAGTTGCTAATGGTCACCCTCATCTCCTGCTTCTCCTTTGCATCTCCCTGCATCTTCATCATAGGCATGAGGAAACCTAAGGACTCGGGAGTGTACCCGGCACAGACGAGAAACTCCATCATCTTTTCATAGACTTCTAGAGTTTTGATGACAGGCATCATCATGTTTCTCGGCCGCCCTGAGTACATCAATTCTCCTTCTGACCATGAGTTCTTCTTCCCTTTCTCCTTAAAGAGTTCATCCAATT